GTGCGCAAGGCCCGGTGCGGGCGTGTGCCACCCCCTCCCTGCGCCGCCCTGCAGAGCGCCGCAGGCACGGGCCTGGCCTTCATCGTCTTCGCCGAGGCCGTCCTCCACATGCCCGGGGCGCCCGGCTGGGCCGTGCTCTTCTTCGGGATGCTGTTCACCCTGGGCCTGTCGTCCATGTTTGGGAACATGGAAAGTGTCATCACACCGCTCCTGGACTTGGGGGTCATGCCCAGAGGGGTCCCCAAGGAGCTCCTGACCGGTGAGTGGACAGCCACCTCCCTGCGGGGCCTGTCACTCTCCAGACGCCCCTCCTCCAGGTGGGCTTCTGGGCCCTGTCCCCATGGAGGCCGCACCCTGCAGCTCTGACGCCACGTCCCGAGGGTTGTCACAGGGGAGCCGAGGGTCAGGGAGTCAGGGGCCAGGGACCCTGTCCTGCACTGCCCACTGAGGACACGGCCATCTGAGCTTGTCCCCTGGCTCCCAGAGCGCAGGGGCACGTGGCCAGGAGGAGCGGACATGACAGGCAGTGGGAAGAGCTGGGAGGGCAGCGCCAGGGCGACCGCCTGAGGTGTGGGGTCGTGTCCAGGGCTGGCCTGCCTGGTCTGCTTCGTCTCGGCCACCTGCTTCACGCTGCAGTCTGGAAGCTACTGGCTCGAGATTTTCGACCACTATGCCGCTTCCTTGAACCTGATCCTCTTTGCCTTCTTCGAAGTGGTCGGGGTCATTTATGTCTACGGGATGAAACGGTGAGTCCCTGGGGTCCCGCCTTTCTGCTCCGAGCATCCGGAAGTGCACGGTACAGGAGTCGCGGGCAGCTGCAGGATGACACGGGACCCCGCCCTGCCTGGCTGCGGGGAGGCCAGCGACAAACGTCAGTCTCCAGCCACATGGTGGACTCCTGACGTCCAAGTGCAGGTGGGCACTAGGGCACCAGGAGGCCCGGCCAGGGTTCCAAGCCCTGCCCTCCTGGAGGTCACACACCGGTCCTGCCCACCCACACCTGGCCCGGGCCTGCCGCACACCTGACACTCACACCTTCACTCACATCGAGACTCATACCTGCACTCACACCTGCCACCCTGGCAGTAGCCCTGCCCAACGAGCCTAGAGGTTGTGACCTCTGTCCCGTGTTCTAAGAGGTCCCGAGAGACCCTGATGCCATGGCCTCCACTGCAGCAATCTGGGCACGGGGACAGTGGGCTTGTCCCTGCGGGACGCTGCCCACCTCGAGAGGCAGGCATGAGAGGCAGGGTCCAGCGGCGATGAGGAGGAACAGTGAGCCCGTGGACTCAACTGGCCATGGGGCCTCAGAAGAAGACACTCCGGAGCTGGGAGGAGCAGAGCTGGGGGGCTGTGCAGGCAGGGGAGGGGCCATGAGGCGGGGCACCTTCTCCGCGTCTGCAGAGGTGTTGCATATCCTGAGCCTCTGTCCCCACCCCCGGGGCCTGGGTCAGGCACCACCTTCCCCTGGGGCGTGCCACTGCTCCACCAGAGCTGGAGTCACCCCCAGGGTGGAAGTCCTCCCTCTCCCTCAACTGGGCTGACCCTCGCCCACTGGCCTTTCTCACCCATCTACCTGGAGGCTGGGTCCTCATTAGGACCCCAGAAGGCTGCCTCGTCTGGGGACACTCAGGAAGACATGGGGCAAAGGTCAGAGTGGAGGTGGGGCGGCCCCCATGGGCCAAGTCTTGGGGTCACGGAGGCCGCTGGCTGGGCGGGTGGAGCCGAGCCCAGTGTCTCCGTGGCAGGTTCTGTGATGATATCGCGTGGATGACTGGGAGGCGGCCTGGCCTCTACTGGCAGGTGACCTGGAAGGTTGTCAGCCCCCTGCTGCTGCTGACCATCTTCGTGGCCTACATTTCCCTCCTGGCCAGCACGCCGCCGAGCTACAAGGCCTGGAACCCCCAATACGTAGGTCCTTTGGGCAGGGAGCGGGAGCCCGGGGACCGCCTCAGACCCGGCTGGCCCTGCCCTGGTGCCACCCAGGACCCAGAGGACCCCTCGGTGGGCATTCACGCCCTAAGGACTATGGGGGCTGCTTCTGCTCTGAGACCCTTGACCCCAGACGCCCTCGGGGGTGACAGTTTGATTCCTGCAGCCCCAGTGACCTTGGGCAAGTGGTGGGAGGACAGGAGCCGCTTCCAGACTCTGGCAACCTCACGGGTCCCTGTAGCCCCTCCCACAGGGAAGTGGCTTCCAGCCAAATTTCACACGTGCAGTGGGGATGCCCAGCCTGGTCCCAGACAAGAAACCAGCCACGCAGCTGGCCGGCGGACTCTGGCTCCAAATCTTGGCCCCAGGCTGCACTGGGAGCCGCGTGGGCCTGGCCGACCTGCTGCCCCTCTTGCGGCTCAGAACCTCGCCTGAGCTTGGGTGGGTGGTGCTGCCCCCTTACAGAGGGAGCACGGGGTCCGACAATGCCTAGCAGGTCAGGACAGGGCAGCCCTGAGAGCCCCGGTGTGGGCGGCTCTCTCCAGAACAAGATGCCCCAGATTCCAGGCCTGTTTCTCAGTGCCCAGTCGCCATGAGAGGCTCGGCCCCGAGTCCCAAAACATCGGCTGCCTGAGCCCACGGAGTGGTCCCTGGCTGTGTGCCTTTCGCAGCCACCCACGCTGGGTGCTTCATTTCGGGAAGAGCCGGGATGAAGCTGCCCCCACACAGTTCCACGTCTGGGGTGGGGGGCGCCCACCTCTCGGCCTGTGTCCCTGTAGGAGCAGTTTCCCTCGCGGCAGGAGAAGCCCTACCCGGGCTGGGTGCAGGCCATCTGCGTGCTCCTGTCCTTCCTGCCTGCACTGAGTGTCCCGGCGGTCGCCCTGGTCCAGCTGCTCGCCCGGCGCCGACGGAAGCAACAAGACGTGCAGCAGGACGTGGGCCCAAAGCTGCAGGATGGCGGGGTCTGCTGAGGGCGGGGCTGGGGCGGCGGGGGCGGGGGTCCAGCCTGCGGGCCTCGCAGCCCAACCCCAATACACACTTACCCCCAGCGACTCCGAGACCCATGGTCTTTGCTTCCGACACCACCTCAGCCTCCAGACCACCTCAGGGCACAGACCAGCTCTGACATCGCAGTCCACGCCCTTCTCCAACCAGAGACAGCCCGCTGTGTGGCTCCTGGGCCCTGCAGTCTGGGGTCCTGCCTGGGGCATCTGGGTGGCCCTGCACTTACCCGGCGAGTCCACAGGCAAAACAGCTGGGGTCCCAACGGTCAGGGTGGAGACGGGGCCACTGGGAAAGCCCAGACACGCTTCTCCACTGAGGGCCCGTGAGTCTGGGAACCAGCAGGGCCAGTCCCTGAGGAAAAGCAGACAGCGTTCTCTCCCCTGAGCTGTGAAGGGAGGCTTGGCCCCCTAGAAGCTCCTTGCTCTACCCAGAGCCCTGGGGTCCTGAGGAGGGCATGCCATGACTGCCCACGCGATGGGGAAGCTCACAGGAGAGGGGGTCTGTCTGGGACCGAGGCTTGGGTGACCTGTACTCAGAGAATCGCCACGGAGGCACAGACGCCCCGCTCTCAACTGGCCAGGGCATCACGGCCCAGAAAGCCAGGGGGTGGGGGGTGGCCGGCTCTTCCCAGGTTTAGCTCAGAAACACGGCATTTTGTTTTTCCGAGAATTCCTCAGGGTCAGTGTGTGTTAGGAGTGAACAAAAGGGCCGATTATCACGCAGGATTCCACTGTCTACAGAGGAAGGACATCTCCCCTCACGGTCGGCCGGCCCTTCCCTGTGCTGAGCCCTCTGAGCAGCCCTCAGCCACGACCCGGCCTGTTCTGGGCCCTCGGAGTACCTCCAAGTGCCCCCGCCTGCTCCTCCTCCCTCCCTCCTCTATTCCTCCATCCTTCCTCCCCTCTGCCCCTCCTCCAGCAGTCAGGTTCTAAGACGCCCGGGGGCTGGACACCCAGGCCTGCCTGAGACTCGCCTCCGCCTCCGTGGCGACCGCTGTGTCCTTGGCGTCTTGCTGGGAACACGTCCCTCCGAGCACCGTTAACGAGCCTCGGGCCAGCGGTCGCTGTCCGTGGTGCTGAAACACTGCAGCCTGCAGGGCACCAGGGCGGGTTTAAGCGGCGGCGCCCAGGCAGCCAGATCCCAGAGCAGACAGAGCCCGTGCGCTACCGCGTGCCTGAGGGGAGCTGCACATTAAACGGCAGTCAACGCAAGAGCGCCCCGAAGTGAGTCCTGAGCCCCGCAGGGAAGGCAGGCCCTGCACTTTGCCCCACGCCGCACTCTGTGGTCCATGGCCTCTTCTGTGGAAAAGCCAACAGCGGTTGTGAGTCTTCTCGCGCTGCATCTCTTGGACTCGCTGCCTCTCCAGCCTCCCTCCTCCACTTTCAGGGACCTTGTGCTCACACTGGGCTCACATCCCCTCTTAAGGACAGCTGATTAGTTACGAATTCCACCTGCACCGTAATGCCCCTTTGCCACGTTGGGTGACGTACTCTGGGGTTCCAGGATTGGGGCGGCGGCATCTTTGGGGGTCGTTATTCTGCCTCCCACGAAGGCCCGGGGTACTCTGAGCTGCCAGGTTTGGGAAGCCCTTTGCTCTACAGCGACCTTCACAGGGGAGGGTCCCATGGCCCAGCGCAGAGCACATGCCGGGGTTTCAGTGTCGAGGGAGGGGCAGGGGGATGAGCACTCGGCACTGCTTGGGGGCCAGGGGCACCGTCTGTGCCCTTTCACTCCTTTCTAGTCTTGAACTGGTCTTGCTGCACCCATGTCCAGGGACACACGAGTGAATGAGCTTCCTCACGGGCCTTTTAGACCTGGGGAAACCTGAAAAACTAGATTCTTTTCCTTTGCTTCTCAAATTTGATTATTTTCATGGTGCACCCTGAGGAGAACTGGCAGTCTGCATGGTGCTTTTAAAAACGAGATGAATCAGAAAGAGGTCTTACCCAGCTGAGATGGAGCAGAGCACACGCCTTCTCCAGGTGAAACTACAAGTGATTCTGAGGGGAAACCTGGCAAAACGCATTTGCTAGAGAAACAGG